CGCTCACCCGCCTCTGCAATGAGGACGCACCCAACAGCAGCAACAACGGCGGCGGCGGCTCGAGCGGCGGCGCGAGCCCGTCCGCGGCGGTGTTCCTGGGCGTGCTGACGGGGCGGCTGCCGGAGGGCGCGTTCTGGGAGCAGCAGCGGCTGCTGCGCGCGCTGCGGCGCGCCGCCGCCGCGCGGCGCGGCGCGGCGGCCGCCAGCGGGGTCAGCAATGACGAAGGCGTGACGTCATGGTCGGCCGACGAGCTGGCCGCGGCGCTGCGCTTCCTGCTGCCCTTCAAGCCGGCCGACCAGTCCGCCCGGCTGCAGGCGACGCTGGCGGCGGCAGGCGCACCGGGGGGCCGGTGGGAGCCCCGGGCCGTCGAGGCGGCGGCCGCGGCACGCTTGGTGTTAGACAACGCGCCGCCGAGCACGGCCGCCCCTTCGACCCAAACGGGCGGCGCCAGCGCGGCGGGGGACGAGGCTGCTGGGTCTGAAGGAGTTGCAGTGGGGGACAGCGGCGGGGCCGCCGACGGCGCCGCGGCGGCGAAGGCGGCGGAGTTGCTGGTGGACGGGCTGCTGAGTCAGCATCTGGAGGAGGTGGAGCGCCACGCAGCGCGCGCGCTTGGGCGGCTGCGGGAGGTGCTAACGCGGCACGCGGGCGGGGCCGGAGGCGGCGGGGGTGGTGGCGCCGGCGGGGCAGCAACGGATGGCAAAATTGGTGAACACGAGGAGGACGAAGAACGGCTGTGGGCAGAGGTGCAGGCGGCGCTTCTGGACGGGCCCAGCCGTGGCAGCAGCGACGGCGGCGGCTCGACGGCGCAGGCGGGGGGCTCGTTGCTCGTGGCCGCGGCAGCCGCGCGCTCCCGCCAGGCCTGGGCGGCGGGCGCGAGCGGCGCCGCGGGCGAAGCGCTGCCGCCGTGGCTGCGTCCGGCGGTCTGCTCTTACGCGCGGCGCTGGGGCGCTCGGCAGGTGGCAGCGGCGGCCAAGGAGGGCAGGGATGGGGGCGGAGGCGAGGGCTGCGCGGCAGCTGCGGCGGAGCTGTTGGTGTCAGCCGTCCGCGCCGGCGTGCTGCTGCTGCCGAGAAGCTGCGCGGTCGACGCGGCCGGCGCGCTGCAGTGGGCGGGGATGGCGCCGGCGGCCGGACGGGGCCGGGGCGATGGCTCGCCTGGCGCGGCCGCGGCCGGGCCTTCCAACGACTGAGGGCGAGCGCGCGGCACTGGGCCCTGCCACGTTGCCTGCCATACGCCAACCTATGAATGCTCATTGCGTAATCGCCATTCGCGTCCCCAACTGTGCGCGCAAAGCCAAAGTCCCACCAGGCATCAAAAAGATACCAATAACACTGTACAATTTTTCTTTGCAGCTGCGCGCCGGCGTCCGTCCATGCACGTGGAACACCGCCAAGCCACCACAACAACCAACACACACACACACATGCAGCGGGGGTGTGTCACTGCTTGGCCACGCCCGTGGAGCCAAAGCCGCCGGCGCCGCGCTCTGTGTCGTCGAGTGACGTCACCTCCTCGACTTCCGGCGTCGCGATGCGCTCGAGCACCAGCTGCGCTATGCGGTCCCCCACGCGGACTGCGGGTGATTGAGTGTTATTTCGGGGGGAGGTTGGCGGAGGGTGAGGGG